AACTTCAATGGCGTTTTGATTGAGGTGGTTTTCTTTTAGAGATTTTTTTTTAATATTTCTACGGGCAGCAGTTTCACTGCATAAAACAAAAACAGGCTTAAGATTTTGGCAGCCTATGACTTCTGTTCTTAAGGCCCACACGTACTAACTGGAATCTTTTTTTTATAGGATAAGGGTGACAAACTACCACACACTCCACCTGATGGTAAGTGGTTCCTGTGGCCCATAGACATTTACATCTATCCTCGATTACGAATCAAAATGCAGATGCGTTGTCACCCGTAAGGACTATGATGGAATGCCTCGTTTCCAGTAAAAATTGTATCCGGTTCTCTACACTCACCACACGAAACACAGCAGCGTCAGGCTGCTTTATTTTTGCTGGTATTCTGTGAGAGCGTGGTCCTTCTTCGGTAGAGACGACCCATTCGTGCTACAACTATACCAGTAACCTTACCTATATATTGAAAAATTGCTAGAGAATCTAAAAAAAAAACATTGTTATCTGTATTTTTATACTTTTACCTTGCAATTGCAGGTTATATAGGATAATTGAAACATTTTATATGGTTTTGTATTCAAATTGATCGTTAATGCATCTGCTACAGAAATCTCGTAGATGGAATTAATGGATTATTTTATGGCGCATTACGACGAGATACATCGAAATAGAAATAGTTATCCTGCAAAAGATATCACAATACTAAAATAATTTAAAATTTAAAATTTTGTACAAAACTATTACTCAGACCGTGATCAAATTTATATGGAACCACACGAGAAGAACCAACTTTCAAATAAAAAAAGAATCGTCGAATTTCGAAGTTCGCCTAGAAAAAAGTTATGAGGTAACACTCATAAAAAACATACTGTAAAAAGGGGTAATCGATAGGATCAAGTTCTGACGCGTACGGTGCATCTATAAACGAAGTGTTTCCATCGAAGCTACTGAAGAATATCGAAGATATCGAAGCGCGGACAAGGGTTATCGTGTAGTATAAGTGGAATAGAGCAATTGAAAGGCTCGATTGTTTGATAACGAAGTTGTCATTCACCGTTTGCAGCTCAATATTCACTTCGAATATGAATATTGAATATGAATATATTCGCCTGCTTTGTGTCAGCGGAATAAACCTTTTCATTTTATATACATTATATTTTGTACATTAGATTATAATACAAGATCTGCTTTTAACGAGCACGATCAGAACTCCTTATTTCGTGACACGATTAAACAAATGAAGGAAAATTTCGACGCGATTTTGCTAGTGTCGTTTAGTAAATTCATAGTTCATACGCAAATGTATAAATATATTGTGTCTTGAGGTGAAATTGTTGTTTGAGTTTAATCGGCTACCGATTTCAATTTGTCGCTGTCCACTTTAGTCTTCAGCCGTGCACGGGGCTCGTTTTATGTTTTAGAAAGGAAGAGATCTAATTAAAAATTCCCGTGGGCTCATTTGCGGTAGCTGGTCCGTATCCGTCTTTGATATTGCATGCTGCCTGAGCAGCTCCCTGGTGTTGCGATAAAACTTATATAAAAAAATACAAAAGCTTTTAGAAAAATTTACTTCGCAAATATCCGCGTTAAGTAAATTTTTCTAATGGATTTCCGCAAAGTAACGCCTGATTCTATTAATTATAAAAAATACAAGTCTTCGATTTTCAATGACCACAGACAGACACCGACAGACAGCGAAATCAAAGCAAAAAGAACAAACTTCGGTAAAATGAATGCACTTTTTTATAATCATTAAAATAATATCTTTATTTTCCTTTGAATAGGTTATTACATATGGAAAAATACAGATAAGGTCTCGTATTACATCTATTTATAACATCATCATCATCATTACAGCCCTTCACAAGTCCACTGCTGAACATAGGCCTCCCCCAAGGAATGCCACAAAGCACGGTCCTGAGCCACCTGCATCCATCGACTTCTTGCATATCTTACCAGGTCGTCACTCCATCTAGTGGGGGGACGCCCAACACTTCGCCTGCCGGTACGAGGCTGCCAATCGAGAACCTTTTTTCCCCATCGGTTGTCGGTTCTTCGAGCTATATGGCCGGCCCATTGCCACTTCAGCTTACTAATCCGTTGAGCTATGTCGGTCACTCTGGTTCTACTGCGAATATCCTCATTTCTGAGTTTATCACGCAGAGAAACTCCGAGCATAGCCCTCTCCATATCTCGCTGAGCAACCTTGAGCTTCCTCATCCGGCCAGTAGTGAAGGAACACGTCTCAGTTCCGTATGTCATCACTGGCAACACGCACTGGTTGTACAGCCTCGTTTTCAAGTTTTGAGGTATACCTGACGAGAAGATGTGCCGTAATTTCCCGAACGCTGCGCAACCGAGTTGAATCCGTCGATTGACCTCTCGGTCGAAGTTGGACTTACCTAGTCGGACTATTTGTCCCAGGTAAACATACTCGTCAACAACTTCTAGCTTAGTGCTCCCAACAACTACCGGCATAGGTGTGACGTGGACATTAAACATGATCTTTGTTTTGTCCATGTTCATCTTAAGACTATCCGTTGGAAAGCACTATTGAAGTCATTGAGCATAGTGCTTAGGTCCTCCAGCGATTCTGCCATAAGGACTATATCGTCAGCAAATCGAAGGTGAGTGATGTACTCGCCATTGATGTTGATACCGTATCCTTTCCAGTTCAGAAGCTTGAAAACGTCTTCCAATGCAGCGGTGAAGAGTTTCGGGGATATGATGTCACCCTGTCTTACACCTCTCTGCAATTGGATAGTCCCGCCGAATGCATTTGGAGATCTGTCTGTTCAGTTGCCTGTATGCTGTCAAATCTGTTGAAGAATGTAGCTTCATCTCCCGTCTAACAGCCATGAGATTAACAGTGTGATCGGAGAGTTTTTGTGTTCTTCTGCGGCGGGTCTTGCAGAACTTAGCTCCGACCGCATGGACAGTTTCCACGAGCTTGTCATTCATATCGTCCACTTCATTGCAGTCTTCTAGGCACTGAAAACGGTTTTGTAACTCGAGCTGAAAGGTTTCGGGACTTTGGATTAGAGCACGAGGGGGACGGAGCGTTGACTTCATTAGACGAGACCTCTCCAACTTAACGTTTAGGTTCAGTGTGCCTCTAACCATTCGGTGATCGCTGCCGGTTTTCAACCTCGCGATCACTGAGACATCACTGAACAGTTGTCGTCTGGTCGTCATAATGAAGTTAATCTCATTTTTTGTCGAACCGTCGGGGCTCGACCAGGTCCACTTCATGTGGGGCCGCTTCTGGAAGAAAGAGTTCATCATAAAGAGTTCATCATAAAGAGTTCATCATAAAGAGTTCATCATAAAGAGTCCCTCTTTCTCCATGAAGTCCCTTGGGTTCCGTTACCCTATTCCAAATTTCCCACTTTCAGCTCACCATTCTCTCTTGTGCCTAGTTTTGCATTGAAGTCTTCCATTAACACCGTATATTGGGTTTTGGAGGATCTAGAGATATCCTCATACATTTCCTCCACCTCCTCATCGGGGTGTGCCGAGGTTAGAGCGTAAACCTGTATGACCTTCAGCGAATACCGTTTGGTAATTCTGAGTATAAGGTACGCAACCCTCGTCGACACACTCTCAATCTTTACAACGCTGTTAACGAGAGACTTGTGGACGATAAATCCGACACCCCCTTGGGACAGATGGTCGCCCTCCCGGTAATAGAGCAAGTTGCCGGATTCTAGGATTACCGTGTCCTCCCCCTCTCTTCGGACTTCGGATAATCCTATAATATGCCAGCGTAACTTATCTACCTCTTCTTCCAGCTCCACAATCTTCTCGTCAGTCCTCAGGGTGCGTGCGTCGTATGTTGCCAGGTCGAATCGTATTAGGTGGCAACCGAACCTCCACCAGAGATTCTTAGCACCCCCTGTCCCACCGTTACCATGGTCGCCACCGTAGCCAGGAATAGCGGGGCCGCCGGGGACTGGGGGCCGTTTCTTTGTTGCTATAACCATTGGGGGGTATTTGCCATAGTTGCCACGCTTGGCGAGCGGGTTGGCAACCGCAGTTTTTTTATTGTATTTTTGCTGTTATCAGGAAGATGCTGCTGCATCTCCTGCCTGTTTCCCTTTGTCGCCTTTTACGACACCCACGGGAAGATATGGGGTAGTGGATATTCTTAACCGCCACTACACGGCAATTTATAACAGCACACACATATTTATTTAGAATCGGTATTGATCAAATTAGTTACTATTGGCATCATAAAGTAAGTACTACAAAAATACAAACTTTCTAGTTCCCGTACAAAATGTCAATAGTTAATAAAAACAAATAAAATAATAAATGAAGGTCCTATCAAGGTTGTCTTCTGTAATTTAAAAACTCGTTTATTGATTAATATTACAATATGACATTTAAATAATTTAAGACAATTCTAAGTTACATGCAAAATATCATTCTATTATATCGGTATTAATCTAATCTATTGTTTATTCTTTGACCTAATGACTTAAATTAGGTCAGTAGATCACCTAATGTAACATTTATGACGTGTGGCCATATTAAATAAAATACTACAGCATATTTATAAGTTAAAAAATCTTGATAAGTTTGAAATTGACACAACGAAAGATTATTATGGAGTAAAAACATTAATAACTATGTAAAAATAAAACAACTTCGAAATTTTAAACAAAAGACGCTAGATAAGTTAGATGCTTACCTATGTATATCACACACAAAATTCATCTGATTAGGTAAATAGGTATTTAATGTACATACATATTACATATTTTTGTTATTGTTTTTTTTTCATTATTTAAAATTCGCTAAACGACGATACATTTGAATTAATTCAAGAAGGCAAGATCATAAATAATATTACAAAAGTTTAATTTAGCTGACTGAATCAAACTAAATTATATACTCTACACTGTTTGAGGTCATTCGGGTCAATGTGCTCCATATGTCAGTGATCAGTGTAGTGTACATTCAACGTTGGGTCGCGCGGTACGTGTCAAATATCGATATGCGTAGCATAGTACTTTTGTTTGTTTACACTGTTTGTGCGTCAGATCTCACAGAGTACTATGATAAACGGTACAAAATCCTACTTGACGAAGCCCTTTTAACTGTAGGCGGTAACATTTCCCTCAGCGATAAGGAAACCGCGGTCAACAACTGCCTGATGAGGCACAAGTTCAACGAAATTGATTATTGGTTGAACAACCCTAGATATTTTAACTGTTCACACCATTACTTCGCTTATAAAGACAACATCCCATCTTCTAAAGTGTACAAGATTATAAAGAATATACCTAAAGGAGCTGCACTACATGTCCACGACATGGGACTCCTAGGCCCCGATTATCTTATGAACGTGACGTATTTAGAGAATCTCTATGTTTGCTTCGGAAGCAATTTGCTTTTAACCTTTGCCAGTAAAAAGCCAAATACGTCTTGTGAAAGTCAATGGCAACTTATGAGCGAAGCTAGACGTGCATCTAATAATATTGCTAAATTCGACGCGGAGTTGAAAAAACATTTTACATTAGTAGTAAAGAACCCTGACGAAGTTTACCCGAGTATAAAAGAAACTTGGGGAGCATTTATGCAGTACTTCATTACTGTCGCACCAATGCTCTCTTACAGGCCAATATGGGAGCAATATTTCTATGACGCATTAAAGAAATTCAGAGAAGACAATATCATGTACATTGAAGTGAGAAGTATCCTGCCCAGTTTGTATGAGTTAGATGGCACAACTTATGATCCATTGATCACAGCCAGAACTTATAAGAAGGTGATAAAACAGTTTATGAGAGAACATAAAGACTTTATAGGGGCGAAACTAATATATGCACCTTCGAGGCGAGTGAATAATGCAAAATTAGAAGACTATATCTTGTTAGCGAGAAGGATTAAGGAGAGTATGCCTGATACTTTTGCCGGCTTCGATTTAGTAGGACAAGAAGATATAGGAAGCCCGTTAATAGAGTTCGTCCCTAGATTATTGGAAACTTCTTCGGAGATGAGTTATTTCTTTCACGCAGGAGAAACTGATTGGTACGGAACATTAACTGACGAAAATCTTGTAGATGCAATTTTGCTTGGAGCGAAAAGAATTGGTCATGCTTACGCTCTTCCCAAGCATCCTGTTATTTTAAACGAAGTGATAAAAAGAGATATTGGCTTGGAAATAAACGTAATATCAAATACAGTTCTATCTTTAGTGCGTGATATACGTAACCATCCCTTGAGTACTTTCCTTGCTCAAGGGTTGCCAGTTGTACTCTCGAGTGACGATCCTGGAGTATGGGAGGCCGATCCTTTGTCTGAGGATTTTTACATAGCCTTTGTCGCGGTAGCTAGTAGACTGTCGGATTTAAGAATGCTTAAACAACTGGCTCTGAATTCTATAAAATACAGCGCTCTCGACTCCGCATCTAAATCTCGCGCATTGCGCACTTTTCACTTTAAATGGAATGATTTTATTAATAATTTTAATTGTTCTATGTATTAAATAATTAATAATTAGAAACTTTTGAAGTTATAAGAATAATATGAAAGTAATCATTTTGTCAGTTATTAAAAACTGCGGTAAGAAAACACCATTTTGTTTTATTTATTACTGACCCGTAAAAACATTCTTAAATGTGTATTTTACATTGAACGAAAATTAATTTACAAAAATCACTTTTAATTTATTTTTAATTTCGACATTCTGGGTGTAGGTACACTATGGATGCTGCCTTTGATTATGAAGGGACTAGGGTGTTCAACATCCTGGTGTCTGGTTAATTAAGCATGGGATACCTTCAGCTTTCAATTATTTTTTTCTATGGCATGGATTATGTAAAGAACACGAAACATTGATATTTAAAAATTTATAAGTTACAATAAACTCAATATATAACCTGTAATTAATTTCGCAGAAATGTTAACAATAATTTTGTTTATTTGTAATTAATAATGTACGATGTATTTGCGTTGATATCAAACATCGAAAATCATTAGTTAAAACTATAATTAATACTAAGAAACCGGAAATGAATAAGGAAATAACATACCCGTATTTATGACACACACACATGTCTGATATACAGAATTATTATTTGAATATTTTTAGTTGTTGCTAGCCGTGTTAGCTTATGGGCCAAGCGCTATCTGTAAATTTCATTTAATACGCGAGTAACCTGGGTTCTATCCCCACCGGTACCAATGAAATTGTTAATTGCAATTTTAAGTGCGTGCTCTGCGGTGAAGGAAAACATCGTGAGAAAGCCTGCATGTCTAAGTAATAAATTATTTTGAGGAGGATGAAGAAGCGTGGCAGTAATTGCTTAGTAAGCCAAAATGAGAGAAGGCTTGTGCCCAGCTGTGGGACGTATATATACAAATTCAGACTTTACTATTTTAGTTGTTACCTTATACCCTCTTTTAATACACATTTAAATATATCTACTAAAATAGGTACCTAATTTATATCCGATATGCCACGTAGAAAGATTTTCGAAAAAAATGTTTTTTTTTTGTATGAGTCACTGGCTAGTTATAATTTACTTTGAAAATACGATTCACAAACAAAATACTAATGTTCCAATTTAAATTGTCTCTGCACATGCTTCACGAGCTAATATGTGTATACGTGTTTCATTGAAAATAGATCTTTCATTTTCGCACGATGATTTTTTACAATTTCAAATGTCATCTAAAACGCTACAAGCTAGACGTCTAATGGATAAAGGCTCTATACTAAGGCAACCAAGTACCGCTGGTAGATATAAAAAAAATCTGTACGGTTGACTAACGTCGATTAATTTTAACCCCATACCATCCTATGGGTATCGTAAGAGGCGATAAAGGGAAACTAAAACAGGCGATGGGCAGCAGCATCTTTCTGATAACAACTGTAAATAATACAAATCTGGCGGGTGCCAACCCAACTGCCAAACGCGGCAACTATGGTAAAATCCGCCGCACAACCTTACCGATGCTGAAGCAAGCCCGTGTTATGTGGTGTCCTGACATGAACTATGTCACTTGTCTCGGCGTGTTTATGAATTTATGACGGATTACATATTATAATCCCTTTGAATGAGTTTTTCTGGAAATAGGCATGGGATAATACGAATTTGCCGTGTAGTGGTATGCCGTGTAGTGGCGGTCAAGAATATCCACTACCCCATATCCTCCCGTGGGTGTCGTAAAAGGCGACAAAGGGAAACAGCCAGGAGATGGGCAGCAGCATCTTCCTGATAATAGCCAAATTACAATAAAAAAACTGCGGTTGCCAACCCGCTCGCCAAGCGTGGCAACTATGGCAAATACCCCCCAATGAGATGAGAGCAACAAAAAAACGGCCCCCAGTCCCCGGCGGCCCCGCTATTCCTGGCTACGGTGGCGACCATGGTAACGGCGGGGCAGGGGGTGCTAAGAATCTCCGGTGGAGGTTCGGTTGCCACCTTAGACGACTCGACCTGGCAACGTACAACGCACGCACCCTGAGGACTGACGAGAAGATCGTGGAGCTGGAAGAAGAGATAGACAAGTTGCGCTGGCATATTATAGGATTATCCGAAGTCCGAAGAGAGGGGGAGGACACGGTAATCCTCGAATCCGGCAACTTGCTCTATCACCGGGAGGGCGACCATCTGTCCCAAGGAGGTGTCGGATTTATCGTCCACAAGTCTCTCGTTAACAACGTTGTAAAAATCGGGAGTGTGTCGACGAGGGTTGCGTACCTTATACTCAGAATCACCAAACGGTATTCGCTGAAGGTCATACAGGTTTACGCACCAACCTCGGCACACCCCGATGAGGAGGTGGAGGAAATGTATGAGGATATCTCTAGAGCCATGCATTCCTCCAAAACCCAATATACGGTGTTAATGGGAGACTTCAATGCAAAACTAGGCACAAGAGAGAACGGTGAGCTGAAAGTAGGGAAATTTGGAATAGGGCAACGGAACCCAAGGGGCCAGCAGCTGGCCGACTTCATGGAGAAAGAGGGACTCTTTATGATGAACTCTTTCTTCCAGAAGCGGCCCCACAGGAAGTGGACCTGGTCGAGCCCCGACGGTTCCACAAAAAATGAGATTGACTTCATTATGACGACCAGACGACAACTGTTCAGTGATGTCTCCGTGATCGCGAGGGTGAAAACTGGTAGCGATCACCGAATGGTTAGAGGCACACTGAACCTAAACGTTAAGTTGGAGAGGTCTCGTCTAATGAAGTCAACGCTCCGTCCCCCTCGTGCTCTGTTCCAAAGTCCCGAAACCTTTCAGCTCGAGTTACAAAACCGTTTTCAGTGCCTGGAAGACTGCAATGAAGTGGACGATATGAATGACAAGCTCGTGGAAACTGTCCATGCGGTTGGAGCTAAGTTCTGCAAGACCCGCCGCAGAAGAACACAAAAACTCTCCGATCACACTCTTAATCTCATGGCTGTTAGACGGGAGATGAAGCTACATTCTTCAACAGACTTGACAGCATACAGGCATCTGAACAGACAGATCTCCAAATGCATGCGGCGGGACTTACGCAACTTTAATACAGCTCGTATTGAAGAAGCGATCGAGCGGAACCAAGGCTCCAAAGTCTTTGCCAGAGATCTGTCTGCCAGAAAGAGCCAACTGTCAAAGCTGAAGACAGAATGTGGCAGCATCGTTTCCGGGACACCTGAGATTTTGAGTGAGATTGAGAGGTTCTATGGGCAGCTGTACACATCATCGTTGGAGCCACACGCAAGTGTGAGTAACGATCCAAGAGCGAGTCTCATCCGACACTATTCCGAAGATATCCCGGATGTCAGTCTGAGCGAGATTAGGATGGCTCTCCAGCACCTTAAAAACGGTAAGGCCCCAGGCGAGGATGGAATTACAGCGGAGCTTCTGAAAGCGGGTGGAAGACCGGTACTTGAAGTCCTTCAGAAGCTCTTTAATTCCGTCCTCCATGGTGGCATTACACCGGAGGCGTGGAGCAGAAGTGCGGTGGTCTTGTTCTTCAAGAAAGGTGACAACGCTCTCTTGAAGAACTACAGACCGATTTCCCTTCTGAGCCGCGTCTACGTGCTGTTTTCGAGAGTCATTACGAATCGTCTCGCGCGCAGACTTGACGACTTCCAGCCTCCCGAACAAGCCGGTTTCCGAAAGGGCTTTAGCACCATAGACCACATACATACCCTTCGGCAAGTTGTACAGAAGTCCGAAGAGTACAATTTGCCACTATGTCTGGCGTATGTGGACTATGAGAAAGCCTTTGATTCCGTCGAAATTTGGGCGGTGCTGCAGTCCCTTCAGCGGTGCCAAGTTGACTGTCGGTATATCGAAGTGTTGAAGTGCTTGTACAGTAGGGCTACGATGGCTATCCGAGTACAGAACCAGAGTACGAAACCTATCCAATTGCAGAGAGGTGTAAGACAGGGTGACGTCATATCCCCGAAACTCTTCACCGCTGCATTGGAAGACGTTTTCAAGCTTCTGGACTGGAAAGGATACGGTATCAACATCAATGGCGATTACATCACTCACCTTCGATTTGCCGACGATATAGTCCTTATGGCAGAATCGCTGGAGGACCTAAGCACTATGCTCAATGACCTCAATAGTGTTTCCCAACGGATAGGTCTTAAGATGAACATGGACAAAACTAAGATCATGTTTAATGTCCATGTCACACCTATGCCGGTAGTTGTTGGGAACACTAAGCTCGAAGTTGTTGACGAGTATGTTTACCTGGGACAAATAGTCCGACTGGGTAAGTCCAACTTCGACCGAGAGGTCAATCGACGGATTCAACTCGGCTGGGCAGCGTTCGGGAAGCTACGACACATCTTCTCGTCAGACATACCTCAAAACCTTAAAACGAAATTGTACAACCAGTGCGTGTTGCCAGTGATGACTTACGGAACTGAGACGTGGTCCTTCACTGCTGGCCGTATGAGGAAGCTCAAGGTCGCTCAGCGAGCTATGGAGAGGGCTATGCTCGGAGTTTCTCTGCGTGATAAACTTAGGAATGAGGATATCCGCAGTAGAACCAGAGTTACCGACATAGCCCAACGGATTAGTAAGCTGAAGTGGCAGTGGGCCGGCCATATAGCTCGAAGAACCGACAACCGATGGGGAAGAAAGGTTCTCGAGTGGCAGCCTCGTACCGGTAGGCGAAGTGTAGGGCGTCCCCCCACGAGATGGAGTGACGACCTGGTAAGACATGCAGGAAGTCGATGGATGCAGGTGGCTCAGGACCGTGTTTTGTGGCATTCTTTGGGGGAGGCCTATGTTCAGCAGTGGACTTGTGAAGGGCTGTAATGATGAAATGATGATGAATACGAATTTAGAGGATTGTATTGATGATTTAAATTATTATAATTCTGTAAACTACATACTCGTTACGGTCGCAAATCATATTTTGTTAAACATACAACCTGACACTGAGCTGCAATTGCAAAAAACGTAAGAAAATTTGAATTTCGCGGGTTACCCTGGCGCTTTCACCTTAAGAATCAAAATGCAGATGCGT